TGTCCCATGATCTGTGGATATTATATACTAGTCCAAACTGGTAACTTCAAACTAAAAAAAAAACAAAAAACAAAAAAGGAATAATATAACCAAAGATTTTTTAAGATTTGGGCTTAAAAACACTTTGTTATTCTCATAATAAGAAAGTATTTACATTTTAAAAGGAATACCACTATGAAAAGAGTATCTCTCCCCTGTTAACTGCTCCAAAAGAGCTATTACCTTTGGGAATCCATAATCTTTTAATGCTACAGTTGGGCAAAACAAAATATGCTAGTTATTGCATATGAAAAAAAATCACAGATGTTAACACAGTTAAGAATACAGAGAGAATATTATTAGAAAACTAAGCTTTCATTAAAAAAAAGTTTCTAGTTAATGTAGCACTTGCATACTGAGGAATAAATCAATTAAAGGAAATAAAGCTATATATAAATCATAGTCATGGGCTAAAAAGGAATTTGAAATATCTGAAAAGAAAATTTTGGGGGTGGCTGGGTGGCTCAGTCGGTTAAGCATCCAACTCTTGATTTCAGCTCAGGTCTTCATGTCAGGGCATGAGTTCAAGCCCCTAATTAAAAATAAAAAATTTTGGGGGCGCCTGGGTAGCTCAGTCGTTAAGCATCTGCCTTTGGCTCAGGTCATGATCCCAGGGTCCTGGGATTGAGCCCCGTGTCCAGCTCCCTGCTCGGCGGGAAGCCTGCTTCTCCCTCTCCCACTCCCCCTGCTTGTGTTCTCTCTCTCGCTGTGTCTCTCTCTGTCAAATAAATAAATAGAAAATCTTAAAAAATAATAAATAAAAAAATTTTAAATTAAAAAAAATTTTTTTAACTTTCTTAAAGGAATTTTTAGATCTTATCAAATTTTATTCAGTCTCACCCCCAACACATTTCCCTTATTTAATCCTGAAGTAAAATTTATATAATGAAATATCACATTCAACACTAAACTACTTAGAAAAAGCAAGTTTCATATTGCATGATTTATATTATTTATTCTGTTCTTATAAAATTCCAATGGTCATAAAGAGTTTAGGGAAGAATTTAAAAAGCTACCACTGCTTTTCATAACCATGAAGATTAAATAAGATTATAAGAAAAACAGGATCGCCTGGGTGGCTCAGTCAGTTAAGCATCTGCCTTTAGCTCGGGTCATGATCCCAGGGTCCTAGGATCGAGCCCCACATTGGGCTCCCTGCTCAGTGGGGAGTCTGCTTTTTCCCTCTGCCTCCCCCCTCTGCTCATGCTCTCTCTCATGTTCTCTCTCTCTCTCTCTCAAATAAATAAAATCTTAAAAAAAAAAAAAAATGTTAGGCTCCATCTATAACTATTTCCATTCCAGTCAACATTGTAATAAGGGTAGTACTACAATGATAATCATTTTAATCAAAAATACCAAAATTCTTTAACCCTGAATTCTTAGTAAAAATTAAAATTTAATTTAAAAGCATTTAAAATTGTAAAATTTAAAAACATTGTAACTTTACATATTAGATTGGTTAATAAAACATAACAGAATCCTAAACATTAAGACAGCTTAAATGCAAGATACAATCAAAATATTTGAATGCTTAAAAGAAATAAGAGGATTTTCAGTTAAAGATCATGACTTTGACATGCCTACTTAGCTCCTCTCACTCCAAGACCCCACTAAAAGATGGTAGGGAATTTTTAAAGTCCACAAACCCAAAAGAACAAAGAGAATAAAAGATAAGACAATAGCAACAAAAACTCAGAAGCTGGAAAGCAGACAAATGAGAAGTGACAGACTTAACAATCTTGAGAAAGTTGTATCTTAGGCCAACAGTAAAAATATTTGCTGAACTAACAAACATCCAAAGGTGGTTGTGATAATATAGTAAGTTATTGGGACACCTGGGTGGCTCAGTCAGTTAAGCATCTGCCTTTGGCTCAGGTCATGATCCCAGGGTCCTGGAATCAAGTCCTGAATCAGGCTCCTTGTGCAGCCTGCTTCTCCCTCTGTCTGCCACTCCCCCTGCTTTGTGCTCTCTGTCTTTCTCTCTGACAAATAAATAAAATCTTTTAAAAAAATACATTAAGTTATTTAACGATTAAAAACAAAACAAAAGAAAACCTTTACACTGTAGCATAATGCTGAATGTTAAAAATTGCACTTGCAGGGGCGCCTGGGTGGCTCAGTCGTTAAGCATCTGCCTTCGGCTCAGGTCATGATCCCAGGGTCCTGGGATCGAGCCCCGCGTTGGGCTCCCTGCTCCGCAGGAGGCCTGCTTCGCCCTCTCCCACTCCCCCTGCTTGTGTTCCCTCTCTCACTGTGTCTCTGTCAAATAAATAAAATCTTTAAAAAAAAAAATTGCACTTGCAAGTTTATGGAATCTCCGCCTCCAAGGGAAAGGTTCTCTTTGACTTAAGCTCATAATAGATTGGAGTAGCAGTGGCCAGAGAAAAGCAGCTCGTGGCAGGAAACAAACCATTCACTAACCAGAGCCACTACACAGAGCTTTGTAACCCAGAGCTTTGTAACCCAGAGCTTTACTTTGCAGGAAGAAAAATTCACAATATACATGCTGACATATTATTATGTGCTGCAGCAAGAACAAACACATTAACTTACACATATGACGTGACAGCTCATCTGACACACATCACAAGAAGCCAAAAAGTCACTCATTAAGCCAAATATATAAAATAGATTTACTATTCAAAATCATCACAGAATAAACTGTTCTAAAGAATAGTGTTTCCCCTTTCCTCCTAACCTTTTAAAAACTTACTAAAAGTTAGAAATCTTTCCAACATATATACATAAGTCTGTCTTCGTAAAGAGAACACGGAGAAAATATGAGAATAAAGGCAAAAGGCTTCAGGTGTATTCTTACCAACACCATATCACTTTACTTTCTCATTATGAATCTGGTTTCTCTGTCTGAACAACCAGCCAGCCAGCCAGCCAGCCATCATCTAAAAAGAGAGTTAGACTAAAGGATTGCTCTTTTAGCAACTCCGAGGCCTTTTGTGCAGATCACATGGCTTTCTGCCGTAGGGAAAGGTATGGCTGCTCTAACACATGGTAGGAAAGTGAGCTGCGCCGTCACTCAGGCCAGGACCACAGATGGCATCAATCTCCTTCCACCTTTCTCTGCCACAAGTCCTTCTCTGTTCTCAGCCATTTCCCTCAATTCCTCCAATAGCATCTTCCTGAAATATGAGTCTGACCATGACTCTTCTCTGCTTAAAAACTTTTATGGCTTCTGATGTTTAAAGGGTAAAGTCCAAACTCCAAACAAGACACTCAAAGCCCTTTATAATCTGCCCACAGACTACCTCTGCAGTCACTTTTTATCTCCTGCCATTATTCTTCCTACAACAAAAGCTCAACTATCCACCATTCTCTCAGCATGCACACATGCTCTGTCACACCCAGTGCCTTTGCACATGCTGTTCTGTGTAATGCCCTCAATCTCTGTAATCTGTTCATCCTTCAAAACCTAGTTCAGATGTCACCTCATCTAAGAAGTCCTCCCTCACACCCCAAGGCTGACTAAATCAGTCCCTCTTCTGTGCTCTCATAGCACTTTGTCATGGTTCTGTAATAGCTGTATCATAAATGGACCAACCAACATATTTATTTCCTTTTTAACCAATATAAACTATGATCTTCACCATTTCCAGAGCACTTAGTTACTTACTTAACAGATAGTAAATGTAGAATAAATGTCTATTAACTGAACAAATCTGTGAGTTCCAGGTAAGGCTGTCAGAAACATACTTCCCACTAACACCACAGTAAAGATTCCTCTTTGATCTCTGGTGGGTAGCAACATGGAAAGAATAAGATTAGCCTTGCTAGCTGGAAAGCAGAGCATTCAGAAACTTTAAATTTTGCTCAGTAAAGGGCTAATATAGAAGCAGAGTACTACAGTAAATAAAGCATGATCTCTTGAGCCAGAAAATTTGGGTTCAAATTCAGGTCACTAGCAGAGTGTCCTTGGGTAAATCTCTTAATCTCATGACAATTTCCCTATCCATAAAACAAGGATGATAACGACAAATATGTCACAGAATAAAACAAGGCCTCTAGGGTGAGTAAATCCCTTAACCTCTCTGGTGACAATTTCCCTACCTGGTAAAGAAGATTTAAAGAGGATGATAAAGTCAGAGAGCTGTAAGGCTTAACTAAGGGCAGGCATATAAAAGTATTGTTTAAACAAAAGCTATCATCAAATGTAAATGGTTTTCACAAGCATTAGTAACTATGGTAAATGGGAAGATTACAGCTAGAAGGAACATGTGTGGGGGGATGCTAAGGTTAATAGAAGTCAGGCTCCACACCAGCTCATGCCGGTTGCCATAGTTCCAACCCAAGCTTCTCCTGAAAGAAAGTTTCTATTCCCAAGGGAACACTGACAGAGGTTCAGGTAGAAGGCAAATATTCTTAAAAGGATAGAAGAGATACGCATTTATTCATAAAATATTTATTAAATGTCCACCATGTTCCCGGTACTAACAATGACAACTCAAGCCTACTGTCCTAAGGAAGTGCCTTTACTATTTTGTGTGTGTTTTCATAAAGATGAAAATACAGGAAAAGTCAATATTCCTTACCCAAGCTGAACTGTAGAGCTAACAGCTAGCTCTATATTCACAAAATAACATTAGCTATTCAACTCCAGTTACATGGAACTTCTATTAATAGTATGCAAAGATTTAATCTATAAAAATCGGTATATTTAGGGGAGCCTGGGTGGCTCAGTCGCCTGGGTGTCCAACTCTTGATTTCGGCTGAGGTCATGATGTCGGCTCAGGTCATGATGTCAGGGTCCTGGGATTGAGCCCCACGTCGGACTCTGTGCTCAGCATGGAGTCTGCTTGCCCCTCTCCCTCTGCTCCTCCCCCTGCTTGTGCTCTCTCTCCCTCTCAAATAAATAAATAAAATCTCTAAAAAAATAAAATGGAAAGAACAGGTATATTTACCTGAAATACAAGTTTCACAAGGATTTTTTCTTGATGAAACATACTCACCCAAGGCAGGGTATCCAAGGTAAAATCGATCTGCTCCCAACCATCCAAGGAAAAGAGACAGCGCAACTGCCACTTTGTATGAATAGCCATTTCTGTACAAAATTAGAACCTGAGTGTTATATACATGTATTCCCAACATGTAAACATTTTAGGAGACAAAAGTGTTAATTATCACTTATTTGTTAATTTGTTCATTCATCCATTCATTCATTTAATTAATGCCTTTTGGGTAGCTACTGCATGCCAGGCACTATTCTAGGCTATTGGGATATATTAATGAACAAAAGAAACAAAGATCCCTGCCCCTAAAGAGCTTTCAATCTATAGGCAACAAGCAATAAAAATAAACATTTTAAAAGTAAATCATATATTATGTTATAAAGTCATACATGGGGGCACCTGGATGGCTCAGTCAGTTAAGTGGCTGCCTTCGGCTCAGGTCATGATCTCAGGGTCCTGGGATCGAGTCCCTGGGATTGAGTCTGCATTAGCTCTCTGCTCAGCAGGGAGCCTCCTTCTCCCTCTCCCTTTGCTCCTCTGCTCCCCTCCTCCCGCTTGTGCTCTTTCTCAAATAAATAAATAATCTTAAAAAAAAAGTCATAAATGCTATTAAAAAAAGAAGTGGAGCAGGTCATTTAGGGAATTCAGAATGCCAGGGGTACAGAGAAGGGTGATCTAAAATATAAATAGGGTAATAAGAGTAGGTGTCATTGAGAAAGTGATACATAAGCAAAGACCTGAGGGAGGTGAGTTAGTTAGCATGCCACACCTCTAAGGGAGGAACATCCCAGGCAAAAGAACGGCTGTGGCGAGCGCAGCACACCTGACATGTTTGAGGTCTATAAAGGCGGCCCGTATAGCAGGCATGGAATTAGAGAACATAAGAATATAGTAGGAGCTGTCAGAGAGGTGACAAGGGGCAAAAGGGGCAAATCATGTTCGGCCTTGAATACCACTGTAAAGACTGTACTCTGAAGGATATGGGAGACTACTCCAGGATTTTAAGTAGATGTGTGATATGATCTGATTTAGATTTTAAAATAACTCTAGCTGCTCTGCTGAAAATAGACTATAGGGGAGTACTTGTGAGCTACTGTCACAGTAACATTGTATAACAAACCACCCTAAACCTCAGTGGCTTACAACAATAAGCAATTATCCTCATACTTGTAGACTGCAATTGCTTGTGGTTTGGTTGATCTAGGGTGGGTTCAGCCAGGAGATACTGCTTCAGGCTAAAGTTTGGGTCAGTCTGAATCCAGGCTACTTATTTAGTTCAAATCAGTTCCTCTTAAGGTTTTCTAGGGCCCAGCTGAAGGTGTAGCATTTACCTGAGACAAGTTCTTTTCAGAACATATCACCAAGATTCAAGAAGAGAGCTAAACCTGACAAACACGTTTAAGCCCCTGCTTGTTTCATACCTGCTAGCATTACATAGAACAAATACAATTATATGGTCAAGCCCCAAATCAACAGAGTAGAAAGTATACACCACCCAGTTAATAGTGATTGAGAGGAATGAATTTGTTTAACAAATGCAAGCTACCACAAGGACAAAGGAGTCTGAAGGTTCTTGCCATAATCCAGATGAAAATTAATAGTGGCTTGACCTGGAGTCAGAGCAAAAGAAACACTGAGAAGTAATCAGATTCCGGAAATATTGTGAAGTATAACAACTGGATTTCCTGATGTATTCAATTTAGGGAATGAAAAAAGAAAGGAATACGAATAAAGCTAAAGATTTTGTCCTATGTAACTAGAGAGATGAAGCTAGCATTAACTGAGTTGGGGAAGGCTGAGGGTAGTCTAGTCCTGAAAGGGTGTTAAGGATTTCATGTTGGACATGTGAGTTTGAGATAGCTATCAGATATCCAAGTGGGGTTGTTCAAAAGACAGCTGGATTTACAAGTCTAGAGTTAGGGAGAGAAGTCTGGGCTGGAGATATAAATTAGGAAGTTACAAGCATGTAGGAAGTATTTTAAACCAGGACATTTCCCTGTCAAAAAAAGAGAGAGAGAGAGAGAGAGAGATTCACAGACTAAGCCTTGAGATACTCCAATATTAAGCAATCAAGAAGAGAAAAAACTGAGAAAGAGCTAACAGTGAGGAAGATGTAAAACTAGAAGAGTGTGGTATACTGGAAGTCAAGGGAAGACAGCACAGTGTATTAAGGAGAACAGAGTGATCAATTGTGCCACATGTGACTGACAGGTTACTTAAGTAATGGCTGAGAATTTACCACTAAATTTAATCAAAAGGAGTTCATTAATGACCTCAGCAAGGGCAATTCTGGTGACGTGGTACAGGAAAAAGACCAAACAGAGCAGGCTTAAGAAAGCCTGGAATGAAAAAAATTGAAATAGCAGGAGGGGAAGAATGAAGGGGGGGAAATCGGAGGGGGAGACAAACCATGAGAGACAATGGACTCTGAAAAACAAACTGAGGGTTCTGGAGGGGAGGGGGGTGAGGGGATGGGTTAGCCTGGTGATGGGTATTAAAGAGGGCACGTTCTGGGTGGAGCACTGGGTGTTATGCACAAACAATGAATCATGGAACACTACATCCAAAACTAATGATGTAATGTATGGTGATTAACAATAAAAAATTAAAAAGAAAACTGAAGAACAGGAGTATTAGACAACTCTTTGAAGGAGTTCTGCTTCAAAAGGAAAGTAAAGAAACAAAGAGGTAGCTGGAGTTTTCACTTTAAAGTCAAATCTGATTATGTCAGTCTTACAATCCTGTTTTTTTTTTTTTTTTTGCATTTCACTCACAATTAGGACATTTGGGGGGAGTTGGGAGAGATGGTAGATGGACCAGAGATCCTGTTTATGCATCTAATATTGAAAGTATGTCAGATTTTATGCTGAGGGCAGTGGTGTCCCATCTACCCTGGAATGGGGCACCAGACTAGAAATAGAGAAATAAATCAGTAGGCTTTGTAGAAACTCCAGGTATAACCTACTGGGCAGTAGCAGTAGGACAGAAATATAAACAAAATTGGGAAATACTAAGAAGGCAGAAGTCACCACGCTAAATGTGGGAAATGAAGGAAAAGGAGAAGTCAAGAATGCTCCAAAGTTTCAGCTTAAGAAACTGAGTAAGACAGGTGCCATTCACTAAGACAAAGGATGAGATGACTTGAAGGAGATGACAGATGGAGTTTGGGACCTTAATATATATAAAGATGATGAAAAAGCCAAAGGGGTGAATGAATGAAAAAGGGAACATGACAAAGATATAATCTTGGGGCTATCAAGATTTAAGGAAAAAACAAAAGAAGAGGTATCAAAGAAAATAGAAGAGTGTTTTATACTAGAAGTCAAGGGAAGAATTTTAAGAGAAGGAAATGCCAAATGCTGTAGAAAGATTAAGATATGGACTATAAAGACCCATTTGATATAGAACAAAGATTGCTGGTGAATTTCAGCATGGCCGAAAGTTGGACTCCATTAAACAGAAAAATTCATAAAAGGTAAGTATTATAGGAACAAGCCTTTCAAAAAGCTTGGCTGGAAAGAGGAATGAAATTAGAAACACAATTATCTATATATTAGATCACCCTAAAGAATAACCTGAAAATGAGTGGCACAGCAGAGACTGTCTAATTGTTCACTGAGCCACTGCCCTTTTTCTCATGGACATACAGTGAAGTTACATATTCTAGCCCATCTTGCAGTTAACTGTAGCCATAACTGAGTTTTGCCCAATGTAACGAGGACAGAAATGGTGTATGCCATTTCTAGATCTGATCCATAAAACACACCTCCCCGGGGTTCCTTTTCCTGTTTCCCATCTGCTGGCTGAAAGGAAAGGACTCTGAGGACAAGAGGAAGCCAAGCCAGAGGTGAAAGGATCAAGGCTCCTGTCTGACTGCCTGGAGCAACAATCATTCCCCTTGCCTCACCCAGCCCTCCACGCCAACACCAACTGGACTATGAGGTGAGGAGGAAATAACTCGTATTGTGTTAAGCCACTGAAATTCTAAAGACATCTGTTGCAGCCGTTAGTCGGCTCCAACTAAAACAGCTGGCTAGTATAAATAGGTGTGTGGCTTGGTGATCAATCAGACATGGTTACCAGACTTCAGTCGCGGGAGAATACATTATAGAATGACTACATCTGCAATAGTAAGATGGGAGTTGTCATCAAGTATCAATATTATATACATTTTGAAAAAGAATATGCTAACAGGAGAAGGAAAATATGTGAACTAGGAAAGGAACATTCAATGAATAAGAATTTGTCAGTGAGCTGGCTCTTCGGTAGGCATGTACTGAATATTCTGATATAAGAAAATGATTTATGGGGTGACCTTAATTTTGTGACTTATCATTAAATTTACCCAACAATTTAGCTCCCCTTGTTCTGATTCAATGCTCATTAGGCAAATTCTATTTTGGAATTGTAGATTTTACTATAGGAGGGGAATAAATTGGCCAGTATACTTGCAAATATCTGGTCTCCCTGATAATTACATTTCTTCTGATAACTGACATCAGTGTCTTGTGAGCATGATTAGTACAGCTCAGTCACACTGAGCCTAATCTACCCATAGACACCGAAAGAAAAATCAGAATTAACTTGGAAATTGAGTAACAGACCATTGTGGTGTTACCATTACAGGTAATATAAACCTGTAAGTCTGACCTGAGTGGCTAGCTGTTCTCAACAGATGATTGATTTTCTAAGTTGTTGTATTATAATCTATGATGTCTTAGATCAGCCCTTAATAAATTGGTAGTCATTTGGAATTTTTATGGTAGAAATACCAATCCAGGGACGCCTGGGTAGCTCAGTCAGTTAAGCGTCTGCATTCAGCTCAGGTCACGATCCCAGAGTCCTGGGATCAAGTCCCATATTGGGTTCCTTCCTCAGTGGGGAGCCTGCTTCTCCCTTTGCCTGCTGTTCCCCCTGCTTGTGCGCGGCCACTCTCTCCCTCTCTCTGACAAATAAATAAATAAATAAAATATTTTTAAAAAAAGAAATATCAATCCATAAATTCAAAGCTGGGCTAAACCATATATAAGTACTTGGGAAGTAATTCCTTTTAGCAATTTTTACTTTATTAATGAGAAATCTTGGAACCCAAAAAGCTTAAGTGATTGACTTAGGATTACACAGCAAGACAGAATCTAAAGCTTC